GTTTTCATATTTATCATTCATCCATAAAAATATTTTAACAAAACGTAATATTTAATAACTACTTTAATAATTAAAAAATTCCATAACATGAATATAAGCATTTAAGGCTCAGCCCTTTTACACCAGCAAATAATTTACGTGTAACTACACTGAAATCAGGAGCACTTTGCACAAAAGTGGACACTTGCCTGTGTGTCTGGATGAGCAGATATTTACTGAATAATATATGTAAATTAATATCTAAATTTGTGGATGCTGAATGTGAGAGATCAGACAGGTAGCACAGTGTCTGTGTGAAACTGAGTCACATAACTTTCTCACACTGGCCTGAGAAAATGTGGCTTGACAAATTGTGAGGAGGAACTCAAACAGTCCTTGGAGAAGGAAAACAACCTTTGCAGGTGTTGTTTGTCTCCCTGTTTAATTGCAAGAAATGGGCAAGGGGTGTTGTTCCTAACTGTCCAATGATGGTGATGTGTTGGTTTGATGCCCAATGAAAGTTTTACCTCTTCAGACCCCTTTTTGGAACTGCCTATAAAAAAGGGATCCTGAAGAAAAAAACTAGCTCTCTTTTGCAACTAACCTGTGTCATCACTATTGCCATTCCCAATACAGTGCAACACTAACTTATAGTCTAAGTTTTGCAAATTACCGTTTTTCCTTTAGTATGAACAGACAAGGTTTATACAGGTAGATTTGGAATATATGGGAATATAGAAGTACATATGTATTCATTCATTTTTTTTCTCTATCCTTATTAAGAAGTGAAACAAGCTTTGCAGAGAAAAGTAAATCAATCCATCTTCTTTTTAACAGTGGGTTGTAGTCTTGCAAAGGTACATAAATGTCTAGCTCTAACTCTGAGACATAGGTTTATATCTCAGCCTTTTGCTATTTTGCCCCAAAACACTATATTTCTCATCCTATTCCTTCTCATGAGAGAAATACTTATGTCATTGCAAAGCTTTTGGAGGGGAAAAGGGTATTTCTGAAACAGCATATTAGGAAAAGGAAATAGTACACTTCCTCACAGAACTTGGGTATTTAGAGCTCCCTGAAATCAGTCCATATCTCTTGGCATCAGCTCAAACCATAAAGGGTAGTCTTTAAGTGCATCTATGCACCTTGCCAGTTCCAGCCCACTTCCAGATGTAATGGGAACCTTTCTTTGTGCAAAGTGGTGAAGGGACAAAGTGTGGAGCACGTGTAACTGTCCACCTCTGTTGGCACTATGACCATATTATTTTGACTTTGGTGTGAGGAAATCTATTTTCTGATGTAAGTGAAGGTTTTGAAGATTGCGTGATGAATGAATGTGGTTTTTAACGGTAACCCTTTCAGTTAATAATAGAGAGAATGCCTTTTCATTTCAAGGGTATTTATAGTTCAGGAAGGCTATACAGCATCATACTAAGTCTCTGATATCCTAACAGGCCAAATTTCTGTTCCCTTCTATGGTGCTAAGTCTCAACACAATAAATTCCCATGGGATAATCCAGATAGTTCAAATTTTATTCAAGTAAAAGAAATACTCCTTTAAAGATAGTTCTAAACGAGGATGATAAAAAACAGTCATAAAACAATCTGAAAATATGTCAAATCAGTGAGGCTATTCTACAGAGCAAAGCTGGCATCTCAGACAATTTGAATCTTGCAATATTCAAAAACAGAGAAACATCTGTTGCAATATTTAAGTTGAAAAATACTTGAGGCACACATTATAGACTACAGTACAAAACTTTTGGGGAAAAAAAGTCTTTGAAAGACTACAGAGTGCCAACTAAATAATTGTGAGTTGAGTTATGATGAGGTAACTGATAAAAAAGAAAAAACCTGAAGTGCAAATCTAATAATGGAGAAAGCCTAGGAACATAAAGCTCTATTTAAAGCTCTAGTTAAAAATATTTATAATGTATGTAGAAAAAAATTATATCCAAAGAAATTTGTACTGGGCATTGAGTCACCAGAACTTTTAGCTGTATTGGCACTGTGATCGCCAGTGAAATTAAGTATGGGCAATGCAATATGCACTGGCAGGAATTATCTGAACTACATATACATTAGTTTGTCATAATTACCTAGACATTTACTTTTTTAATGTCAATACTTCTGTGGGTTATTACATGAGTGGATAATATAAAAAGTTGAAGGCATGAACATGGATAATATATACAATGAAACATTCTATTTTCATTCACTATGTAATGCTAGATTAAGCCTTCCCTTGGAATGTCATGTTTTGTTTGTCCCACCCCAAATAAAACACAACAAAAACAGATGGTACTTGAGAAGCCTTAAAAGTATAGAGGTGTTCATGTGAAAACCATAGTAAAAATGCCAAGCTGGCAAAGGACGTGATACAGCAGTGACACAGAAGATGAAGAGGTTAAAGAAAGAAAACATAAATTATCTATTTTCATAACTCAAGCACATATATATACCTGATGAAACTGGAGAGCAATAACATTAAAAATAAACATAGCTGGTGATAAATGCTTAGCATGAATTTCAGAGAAGATTGGACATATTTAAGGATACAGATTACCACATGTGATACTTTGGGTGGAATTTGCAACAAAAGTATTTTTCTAGAGAAGTAAAGCTTTAATGATCAAAAATATACCCTGACCTTTAATTACAATAGGTTTAGAATGGAAGCTTCCTCCCTAGGCACTGTTATTCCATATTCATCCACTATGTGGGTTCTTGCATTTTCCTTTGAAAAGCCTGAGCCAGGACCACAGAACTGTAGAATCATTGAGGTTGGAAAAGACCAAGATGACCAGGTACAACCACAAACCCAGCACTGCCAAGTCCACCGCTAAACCATGTTCCTATGTGACATATCTACATATCTTTTAAACACCTCTAGGAGTCATGATCACCATTTCCCCAGGCAGCTTGTTCCAATGTGTCACAACCCTTTCTGTGAAGACGTTTTCCTTAATATCCAATCTAAACCTCCCCTGACCTAACCTGAGGCTGTTTCATCTTGTTCTGTTGCTTATTAGTTGGGAGAAGAGAGCAACCCCTACCTTGTTGCGGCCTCCTTTTCAGGCAGCTGAAGAGAGCAATAGAGTCTCTCCCCTGAGGCTCCTTTTCTCCAGGCTAAACAACCCTAGATCTTGTAGTCACTCCTCATAAGGCTTGTGTTCCAGATCCTTCACCAGCTCCATTGCCCTTCTCCAGGCATGCCCCAGCACCTCCAGATGAAACCCTGGTCTGATGCAGCCTAGATTTTTCAATGGATAGTTTATTTTTCATGTACTCAGTGTAAGACATTAGGTCCATGATTTTCAGAGTGACCTTGCCATCAGTACTCCAAAATACAAAGAATCCCACAAAATCTGCAGGCAATGAAGGTTAAGCTACAGTGTAATACTTCATCTATTTGATTAAAAAAACCCCAAAACACTGCTTGTAATCATCAGGGTAGGAGACTTGGAAAGTTGTACATGTTATTTTTATTTCCATTTAAAAATAACAACAGTTAAGCCAAAAAAATTATAAGGATAACAATAACAAAAGTAACTACATAGTCTGCTTCGCGCAGTACATTTCTGTCTTCATGCTCTCTAAGTGAAGGGTTGCTATTTACGGTATGCTCCAAGTCTGCTTTTCAGAAGACAGCCCAGCTTGGCTGGACAGCTTTCAGTTGCTACTGGAAATATGTCACTTATTAGGAACAGAGGGGTTGTTTATCACTGTCTCAAGGGTTACTCTGGCTGAGGCAAAGAAACAGCTCAGTTATATAATGGAAAGAGCTAGGTCAAAGGATAAGAAATTTATTTAGTACGTGCTTGAGACTCTGGCAACGCAGACTCAGTTTCTCTCTTGTACGTCTTGCACGTATCATGGCTATATAGGCCCCCCAAAAATATTTAAGGCTGTATGGGTCCCCCATCCAGCCCTGAAACAACTTTAGAACTTTGGGGGCTGAAGTTAAAAATTTAAGAAACCCTCCCAAAACTTCTCAATCAAGACAAAGAGATTTGTCCTTATTGCTTCCTCTGCCTTCCTGGTATCCAGTTAGTGTTTGGCCTCATTACCCAGATCCACCACACAGCCACAGTTCAAGTCCACTAGCAAGCTAAAAATGACATCTCTAGCAAAGATCTACATGGGTGCTGAATATCATCAGTCCTTTTAGTCCTCACCAGCATCAATGGGGGAATAATCCTTGGCATAATCTCAGTTCTGGTTTCTGGTGAAACAGCAAAAAGGAGCCCAATCCTATCTGCTTTACCTCACCTCGTATTGGAACAAATTGGACACTTACAAAGAGTTGAGCCTACGTTTTCATCTGCTTATGTAACTATTAGACGTCCCAGTTCAGGGTAACCAAAACAACTTCTAGTACAAAAAAACCCAAACCAAACAAACCCAAACAAGCAAAGAAAAAACAAAAAATATTCAGAGAGTTTTTAAAACCTCTCAGTGTTTTAAAAACTACAATTTTTAAGGGCATCCTTTAGATGAAACGTTTACCCAAGCATCAAGTTTTCAAGCACAAACCCAATTACCATCATAACAACCCAGTAAACAAATAGTGGTAATTCAGCACCTCGCCCTAATTACCAAATACACAAACCGACTGCGGACCGCGGTGACCTCGGGTCCTCCTCGGGGGACGGCGGAGGGAGCCGTGGGGCCAGACGGTGCTGGGGGAGCCCGCCCCGGTTCCCTTCCCAGCACCTGTTGCGCCGCCACTTGGCCGCAGGAGAGGGGCAGCAGCGGGGGCCGCCCGCCAGCCTCCTTCTTCCCCCCGACGACTTCCCGGGGCGTAAACGGCCGCGCCAGGTGCCGCCCTCGCCGTGATGGGACGGCGGGCGTGGGAGGGAGGGGGGAGCCGGCAGGCAGGGCCCGGGCTGGCAGCGCGGCCGGCGAGCTGCGGGCGAGGGAAGCGCTGGTGTGTGAGCGCGGGCTGCCCGCCCCCCGCCCGCCCCGCTCCGCCTGACAGGTGCGCGCTGCTCCGCGCCGGCACAGCGGCCCCGCGCCAGCCCCGGCTCCTCCGACCCCCGCCCGCCACGGCCACGGATTGTTTAGTCCTTGGGAAGCTGGTCTAGGTCCAGATTTTCCTTTGATCCTTTTTCTTTTTTTTTTAAGAGAGAGAGAGAGAGGGAAAAAAAAAAGAAGCTAAAGGAAAACAAAACTTGGAGACACAGAAAAGGGCTCTAGGAAAAAGTTTTGGATGGGATTATGTGGAAACTACCCTGCAATTCTCCGCTGCCAGAGCAGGCTCAGTGCTGCCTTCTCCCCAGCGGCGCAGCCCGCGCCGGGCGCTGCTGAGAGACGCCCGGGCCTCGGTGCCGCGCCGCCAGTGCCTGCTGTGCCGGAGCCCCTCGCCCCGCCGGCCCAATGCTCCTCCTCGGGCTGCTCCTGCTGACAGCTGCCCTGGCCGGCCGGAGGCAGGGGGCCGTCGCCGAGTCCGATCTCAGCAGCAAGTTCGCCTTCTCCGGCGCCAAAGAGCAGAACGGTAAGGAGCCGCAGCGCCCGCCGCTGCGCAGCCCGGGGCAGGGCGGGGGCGGGCGCCCGGCCGGCGCGGAGCGGAGCTCTCGGCTCCTCTCCTCTCCTCTCGCTCCTCTCCTCCCGCCGCGGGTGGTGGGCGCGGGGGCAGCGCGGCTCTGCCCGCCGGCTCCGGGTAAAAGGGCAGCAGCGGCTCGGCGGCCGCGGGGGGAGCCCGGCGGCTCCACTTCTGCGGTACTTGAGGTGCAAAATGTGTCCCCTTCCCGTCCGCCGCCTCGCCCTGCTAAAACAAACAAACAAACAAACCAGAGAACAACCTAAACCCGACAGGGATCCCGCACCTTTGTACCCTAAAATGCTTCGCTCTCGGGGGGTGGGTTTTTGTGTCTGTGCGTGAATGAGTGGTATTTTGTACGGGCTGGAAACGAGCTAATCCTGCATAGGAAATGAGAATTACTTTCAACTTTCAAGTGTACCTGAAATGTTTAGAAAACTCTCAAATGCAAGTTCCCCTGGGCTGGGGCTGCGCAGAGCTGGAGAAAGACTCCTTTCATACAGCAAGGGCAGCTTCGGGGTGTGTAATTTGCTTAGCCTCTGAACTCCATATGATTTACATTATTCAGATTTTTAAGCGCCTTTCCTCTTGATCTGCTATTATGAAGTCATTTTAAAGAATACTTTACAAACTGTAATGTTATATACTGCATGAAACCACACTTACTGTAGAATATCTAAAATTAATGCTGTTAGCATGCATTCGTGGAAGCCCTGGTGTTTAATGTATGGGGCAGGGGGGTGTGTTTGAAAAACTTAGTACTTAGCATGTCAGCTAGAACAAGCTTTCTCCCTGGGCACAAACCAACACAAAAGGCCAAGCTGGGAGCTCTCAAAACTCTCTGAACTGTAATGAAATAAAGCAGAAACTCAGATTCGAGGCTAATTCAATTCTCTCAACTTTGAACTTGGGACTCCCCAGATAAAAGTATTCTACGTCATATCTTCTAATAGAAAGCAAAGTTTCAGAGACCTCTGCTAGTGCTCTGTGAGTGGGTAGAATATGCAGTGGACTAATAAATTTAAAAGGGGGAGATTAATACTGCTGTGGCCTGTTAATGTGATGATATATGGCACCTGCAGACTGCTGGAGCTGCTGATCAAAGAGCAGCATGGGGATCAATCTCTAATCAGAGCAACTGTGAAGGGCCAGAGGAAAGTGATCAAAAGACTTGGAGACCATGCTATTCTGACAGGAAACCAATCAGACTTTGTGCACAGTACAGGAAATTATCTGCTCTGTGTGAGAAATCACTCACTTTCTACCCCTTCCCATCCTACCTGGTGTTTAGAGGCTTTAGGGCACCAGTTTGTGACAAAATGGGCTTGGCAATTATATATTGAGATGTCTTATGCTGTTATGCTGCCTTCTCTCAATGCATGGTGTGCATATGGAGCTTATCAACACACAGATTATTGTCATTGCTTTGCTTTAACTTTGTCAGGACTGGAAAGTAAGCTGCTATGCTGTCAGTCTCCTCTAAAAGGTTTGTTCCAGGATAATGCAGCTGGGCCCTGAAAGGCCTCCAGGGTGCAACAATGGGAGCACAATGGTGTAAAAGGTAGATCATACAGCATGGAAGCAAAACTAGCGTAAATAGGTGTAAGTATAGGTGACAGTGCAAACTAGATTCTGTTCACATATATCAGAAATGCAGCTGCCTTAGGTCAGGCTTCAAATGGTTTGTAATGAAATTTGGCATGCTCTAAGATACAGTCACTACATCTTAGAACAAATGCAAAGCCAGGAGAAATTTTATTTAAAAAATAGCTCTGAAACTATTGTGTAGTAGTTAGTGCAGGTTCCTCTTGTAGCTTACTTTATGTTTGCTTTATAGTTGTTCAATTGCAAAATTTACTTATAAAAATTAGCACAAGTTTAAGTATAGCTAAGTACCAACCTCTGACTTTTCTTAACTGATTTTAATTATTTGGGGGATCAGTAACACTAGTCAAACCAGTTCTTACTTGATTTAATTAGAGTGATTTTTACACTGTGCTGCAATCTAAAGATTGTACAGCTTTTAGCTAGAGGCAGGTTAAAACTCCCCGGAGTATGAGAATGAGATATTGCTGTTCATGTGCCAAATAATCTCTGGTCAGGAGAGAGAGGGAGATTTTTTACTCACGCAGTCTACAAATAAAAATTCTGTCCTCAACTTGTAAAACTGCTAAGTGGCCAAGAAGTTTTGCAGTAGAATGGATTACAGTGTTACTCAGCTGCACGCACGGGTGCTATAGCTATTGCTTCAAGGTGATGCTGAAGATGCCTGTGACCGGTTATTAATTCAGTGGGACTACTTGTGTTTCAAAGGGTAAGCGCATGCTTAAGGATTAACTAATATTCACTTATTTAATAACTGAATGATATTAACTTCAGAATTACAATTTGACTTGATTTATTTGCTAATTGTTTGCATAACAAGCTCTCTTGTTTTGGCTGCACAGTGAATATTATTTTAGGTGGTAATTTCCTAGTGAAAATGTATTTTTGCAATTGTAAATTAAATATGTTAGAACACAGTGTTTTGGTGGTACCTCCTGTAAATTCAGTGTGTTGGTTGTTGTGGGGCCAGCGTAGCTCCATTTGAAACCACTTAAAACTATCACCATGTTTTTATTTGCCTGCCCTCTGTTATAGTGAGATTTTCTTTATGAACTGGTTTTATGTCATTCTGCTTGACAGGAAGGGGGTTTATGTGATTTCTATGAAAAAAATCCTATTTATATTTAATGCTTTTATTTTATTCCACTTAGTAAATAATCATCTGGAGGATCAAAGAAGTTTATGCAGCAGTTTTCTGGAAAGTAAAGTAGTAGTAAATAGTGCATGTAGTGAGGCTCCCATTTATCTAGGTGGATTTCATTTATACAATTCTTTGTCAGGTTATGCTTTGAAGGATTTTTCATACTTAGGTGGGTTTATCATTTCTCCTATGGTTCTTTGATATATTTACTACCATTTTTCCATATTGAAGCAAGGAGTGAAAAAAAAATTGAATGCTCAATTTCTATTAAATCACAAAACTGAATGAATTTATATTGAATTTGATTAATTAGATGGTTCACTTCTACTTTCTTGCTTCATTTCTATCTACTTTTGACTGCATTTTTTGACATAGTGTCTTCATGCCGTTTCTGTAGCTTCAGAAATGTCTGAGGGAGCTATTGGTAGGTTGAGTACTGTGAATGACTTAATTCTAGTGACTCAACTCTGGTAGTCTTGAGTGCACCTGCTTATGTGGTGTTATGAGCTTAATCTGGATTTGGTTACAACATGGGATGGCAGGAGAATCTAAGATCTATTTTCTTGGCTGCCTTAGAACAGGATGCAGTAAATGTTTAAAGTAATTTTTGCTAAGCTATCAGCTGTTACATTTTCTATGAGAAATACGAATGTATCTATAGAACATAATGCAAAAACTACTCTTGGAAGCCAGGAGCAATGCTGTGTACAGTTTATGTGGTGTGCACGTTTCAAGTGTAGTACTGAATGACTTCAGAAGGCTGAGAACCTTAGGTCAGTTAGAAAATCACCAGGACCAACTAAAAAGACTCATTTTCCAGTAGTCAGTTTCAAGTGAATTAATGAACTGCAGTAAATAGAGTTGCTGAAGTAAATCTTAGAAAACTGAAGCTCTTACTTGATTTCTGTCAATTCTGCAGCACAGGTATTGTGTCAGTCATGATCTGTCTTTTCACAGATCTGAAAAGGAATTAGCTTGGTTTTCTTCTTCCTCCACATGAATAGAAACTCCTAATAATAAGTTTCACTAACTGAACACTTCATAATCTATTTCTTAAATCTTCTGGAATGGCAAAGATTTATGTAGCTTAAAACAACCAAACACATAAATGTGTCCTTGAGAGAGAGCTTGAGACTTGCATATTTCAGGCCATCCTTGGGAAAAGTTGGTGGATGCAGCTGGAACTGAGTGAGTAGCTGAAGTGCCAGAGGAAGATTGTCTCATCACCTCAAAGTGTGTGTGGCCTGCCACACCCACATAGAGGATTCCCTGATTTGTGTGTCTCCAAGGAGAGCTCCCAGTTACTTCAGGGAGAGGAACAGCATCACAACAGAGTTTCTGATTAAGTTCCTTTAATTTGGGCTGAACATCAGAAAAATGTGTGGATGTCCAAGTGATGCAGCACATGGAATCCTTACAGACAGGCATGTCAGTGCTTTTGCTTGAAGGCAATCATTTGACTGCAAAATTATCTCTTATAACTGAAGATACTTTATCGTGGTGTGTTGCCAGTTCCACTGGCTCACGTTGAATTGCAGAGTGCCAGCACAACCCAATGACCACTGCTGGGTAGCAGAAACTGTCTTAGTTTTGAGAAGATAAGGAAGTATAATAGGTAAGTTTTGTGACCTAAAGGGAAACTTGATAGTGATGCAATTTTTCTCAAGTTAAATCTATTTCTGCCTAGTCCAAGGCTTGCTTTGAAATGTTTTATAGCTGTTTTCCTGGGAAGTGATGAGTTACAGCACATCCTCTTTTGACTTTAAGCAGAAGATTGTAACAAATTAGAGAAGCAGTTCAACACTACAATAAATTTCAGAGGAAGAAATTTTTTTTTTCATGTGTTTGTAGTTGACTTCTGGCATATTGTTTGTCATTCAGCATAGTGATGCATGGGATTTCTTAGTCCTGTTGCTTCTCTCAGTTTCTTCTGTTAGGTGAAATAAGGGTTTTAAAAGCACAGAACTTTTACTTCCTCTCCCAAATATGCAGTCATTCCAACCTGTCCATGCATTTTTTTAGGGTTGGAATGGAATTTAGTGTAAAATGGAATTTAGTTTAAAATGGGATCTTGAATGGAATTTAGTGTAAAATCTTATTTTTGCATTAACTAGTTCTTATTAAGTTTGCAGATTGGACTTCAAAGCTTTATGTCGTGTTGTGTGGGGGGTGTTTAGTTTGTCTGTCAGTCAGAGTTTTATAATGGAGA